GGCTCTCCCTCATGCTTGCTCTCTCTGCCCGCCTCCACCTCCTCCACTGCCCCTCCCCCTTTTCGCCAGCCTGCTCCCCCGCAGAAAACAGCAACAAACTTTTTGGCGTCGCCGTCGGCGTCAGCAGCGTCATTGCTCTGTTTACGTTTTCTCTTTCGTTGCGGCAACGGAGCAGCTCGTATTAATTTCTTAGTTCTTTCGCAGTAAAGAAAAGTTGTACAATGCGTTTAGGTCATGGGGAATTCGCCGGGCAGTTGGTGGAACCAAAATAGAAACTCTAAAATATGTTATTCTTAAATAAAGGGATTCTAAGTTCAGGTTTGCTAGATCTTTGTAGGTTTGCAATCCAAACTTTGGAATGATAGGTAGCTTGAAACATAAACTGTAATATTCATGTTGGGGTGATGGTTATTTTTATGGTAGTTGATGGAACTAAGAAATTTACTATAGCTCTAACTATGTTTAGGTTTGCTTAGACTTTATTAGATTTGGAGGGTAGACAAAATCCATTAAAATATGATATTTCCCTTTCATATTTCTAATACAAAAATCCCTATGAGTCAATCATTTGATGGGTAGTTTCTTATTTTAGACGAAGTTGTATCACTAAACCCTTTAAAATTGATTAGAATATTGGCCTAAACTGGTTAGCTCTGTTCATAGACATCCATACTTTTATCACGAAACTGTATAGTTATGATATATACTCCCTTGCTAGCACACTTTATAAATTTTAAAATGAATCTATCCTAGATATAGACCACTCCAATTCTAGTTATAAATTAAAAATCATTTAGCTTGAACCAACGAAGGGAAGTAGAACCCCAAATAAGATGTCAAATCTTCAAGTGAGGATTTGTATAGACCTTTCTTTCTTCGAGTGCCGTTTTGACTGGAGGAAGTTGCAGTTTCGAGTGGAAGTAATCACTGGGAAAAACCCTGCCTGGCACCTTTCACTATTACACAATGATCCGTTTTGATAAATGCAACGCACACCTTAACCGCACCATCGATTGTTTACCTTTTACCGTAGCCCAAAGGGCATTTCCCATTCGATGCAGCCTTGATTCTTAGCGCCTTATCTTCGTTCCTTTCTTGTTCTGCTTTTTTAATTGTTCTTTATGGTTATGTGCTGCGCTGAACGCTGTTGTTGTTGTTGTTGTTGTTTTCGTTCCTCTTCGTCGTTTCGCCCGCTCGTTTGGGGTTTTTGGGGTGGTGCAAATTCCGGCACGAGACTTAATTCACTTAATTGAGCAGGCAGAGCCGCTGACAGCGACGCCAGCCGCGGCAGCGACTGCAGCAGAGGCCGAAGCAGAGCCACTGGCCGCGTGGCCTGGCAAATATAATAGTTTGGAGTTGGCGCCGGACCGGCATGGCACGGATACATGGGCCGCCTTTGCTGATTTCACTTTCAGATACATTAACACAAGTGCGCTGAAATGCGCGCGCCTTTTGAGTTATTGGTAGCAGCGGCAGTGGCAGCAAAAGCGACGTCGACAGCGCAGCATCCTCCTTGGTTGCCCATTTTCTTTGGCTCTTCGATTTTATGAATGAAAATCGCGACTTGGTTGGTTTGGTTTTGGTTACGCTTTGGTTGCAGCATATAGCATATAGCCGCTGTTATATTTGCATGTGTATGTATGAGCCAGCGAAGGATACGCACACACACACACACATGTGTCTGGTGTGTCTGGGGCAGCCATAAAATAAATGCCTTCAGGGGGCTTAAGCATCGCTTCTGATTCGGAGGAGGGTGTGTATATGTGTGTGCCCCATTAATACCATTATCCTTGGCTGTTCTGGCTCCCTTAATTTGCCCTCGCATCTTAACTTGTTGCCGGCTCCTTGGGTCAAGTGCAACACGAAAACGCAAATTGCTCAATGAAGAATGTATAATCAAATAAAACAAAAAAGAGAAAAATAAGAGGAGGAGTTGGTATTTCTTTTTTCCTTCGTTTGTTGTGGTGCCAGTCTTCTAAAAATGTAAACAAAAGACTGTTAAAGAAGGGGTCGTCGAGTGCTGGCACCACGTCGCATGAGCAATTTGGGCCCCAGTCACGACTTGTGTCGTCCCGCAGGTGAAAAAGAAAAGAATCCCAGGTTAAGCAGAGGAATTGGTGGATGGTGACTTGCTTGAATGGAATAGGTTCTTCCAAGGGATAGCCTTAAGACAATATCCCTACAAAGTTCCTATATATTCAATATAAATCAATACAGCCTTATTTCCTAGCCCTTAACAAGATATTATCTATGTCAGCTATACTTTGAACTGCTTCCAATTGCTTTATCATTGCACGTTTCTAATATCTATCGGTAGTCATTCCCCCCAATAATTAAAATTCCCATGGCTGTATTAGCCCCCATATAACCGAGCCCCCGTGCTAATGACTTTCGATTGGCCGAGGGTTAAGTTCAGAGCCCAAGATAAGAGAGCCTATCGTAAGCGGTGGGTTCAACAAACCTCAAGTTGGCTAGTTAAGGGATTTGAAGGTGCACAGATCGCTAAAGCGATTCCAGAACTTGTGCTTATCGCTGATGACATTGCAGGTTGTTCCGTTGTCAACAGCTGTTTTGACCACAACAGAGAGCGTGGCAAGTTGTCCATATAGCTCTCAGTGTGCCTCTTTGGGGTCCGGGTCCCCTGTTGACCGATTGAAAGATTTGCTCGCACCGAGAGCATAGCTTATATGGCAACGCGGTCTTGACTTGACTTGGCTTGGCTTGGCTTAATGTATGCCCACACATCCATGGGCAACATACAAAGACAGCTGGCAGCGGCGAGTTGTGGCACGAAATCTTATCAATGAATGCGCATCACTTGCACTTGTTTGCACCACCCAGAGGGGGGGATGAGTATGGCTATATGGCTATATGGCAATGGCTATGGGTTCGGGGAATTACCGGCTGGCAACGACGTAAATGGTTCGACGATGACGATGACGACGGCCGTGTGATGATGACGTGACTCACAGACGGTCCAGAGTAACAACAACAGCAACAACAGCAGCAACTACACGTGCAGTTGTCCAACTACCAATGCACTTGCACACGCACACCATTAGCATTATTAAATCGCCAGCCGCAAATTTGCGGTTGCGTCACCTACTTAACACGCGGACCCAGGGACCATGGACCATGGACGATGGCCAGTTGGGAAACTCAGAGGGTAGGGGAGGTTGATGGGGGTGGCAGCGACTGGAGCAGCATCCGTGAGTTTGCTTAAGGATAACAGCACAACGAGAGCGCCAACGAAAATTTCCATTAAGCCAAATTAAAGTTATCGTGAGCAGAGCAGCAGCAGCGGCAGCGACAGAGCAAGGCTAGCTGCCCTCTTGGCACACCACTCACGGTCCACCCCAATTCACCACCCACCAAGCACACTGGCAGAAAAATGGAGCAGGTCGATATCATTTAGAATGATATGGTATTTATAAAAAGATCTCAGTTTTCATAAGTTATGTTTATACTGTTAAACATACCAATTTAATAAAGATATTGCAAGGCTGCTTCATCGTTTACATACATTTCTTATGAAACACGAATCTATCTACGCATTTTGGGAATCCCCCTGTGATTTGATTTTCCTCTGTGCACTTTTGTTCGTCCTGCCTCTTGCCGCCTTGTCCTTGCTTCCATTTTCATTTCTCTCATTGCTGTCCTCTCTGACACAACCGCCCCACCACCCACCCACCTACACAGCAAAAAAAGGGGAAGGTGGCGGTGGAGTGGTAGGAAGCATTCCATCTCTCTTTCTCTCTTCCGCACTCTCTTTCTCTTTCACCCAGCCCACGTAGTGGTGTACGTGCAATTGGAAAAGTGGTTTTCATACTAGTGGATGGCCCAAAACCACCACCACCAGCGCCGACAGCAGCGCAGCACCACCACCATCAATCCACCATCCACATCCACCCATTACCCAGCGTATTTCTCGTCCTGTTTGGTAGGCTTTATATTATGCCAGAACTTGGGGGGTTAACGTGATGTACAGTGGGTGGCATAGCATTTCACCCAATTTCATTATATTTGCCAACGTTTTTAGCTTTTATACGTCACACGGCATATCTCACCACACCCAACACTATGAGTATTCTGAGTGGGTGGTTTGGGTTGCTTTATAAGGGGGATATCGGAGTATGGAGGGTCGTACGATAGAGAAAAGCCGGCTCGACTTTACTGCGCAGGGTCGCCAACTCGACTCGATGAGAGGGGTTAAGATGAGGCGAAGGATGTAGGAGGGGTGAAAAGGGTGGTTAGGTGACTGGGTGGCTGGGTGGTTGGGTGGCTGGTATATGGCTGTAGGTGGTTTTCGGCTGCCAGTGCTGCCAACCCATTATTATAAAGAATATAATATTATAATAATGTCAGGCATAAAGTGCCAAAGAGAGACGGGGAAAACACAGGGAGAGGGTGCTTCGAAAAGAGGAAGAATCACCCAACCCCGTGGGCGCTGATGGAGCTTACACACACACTGCCACATCGAAAACTTGTGTGTATGTGTGCAAAATAAGGTTATTTTATAAACAGTTCAGGGTGTTATAAGGGGGGACAGCCACCAGGGGAGGGTTGTCTGTATGTGTGGGCGGCCGTATCGAAGTAGAGCCGGAATATAGGAGTACGGGTGGCCGGGAGTTGGCGTCATAGTCACGGCTGGGCGCTCGTGGGCGGACATGGGTTAAAGCGGCAAGGCAGCCCCTTAAAGAGCGTTAGCCATGGAACCGTTAAATAAAGGACACGCAGATTGCGTTACGCGATAAAGCCTGAAGTTGAAGATCAACGGAGATTGGAAATGGAATAATAGCAATGTGAACTGCTTAATCATGGTTTTGGTCGTACGTTCTTTAGATCACTTATGTGATATTAAAGACTATATTGAAATAAATATTATTTAGAAGAACTTAACTAATTTTATTTTTAATGATCAACATCAAATAAATCAACTTGATTTTTTGAAGACAGATCACTAATTAAAAGACAAGCTTTTTTGCATTAAAAACTTTTATTATTAATCAGATTATTTAGTACAATGTATTATCTTAAAAACTATGACAGCCTTATGAACAATCAACAAGATTCGATATAAAGTCTTTGGCAGTCCGCGATACTTCGAAACACTCTTCACGTTTCGATTGCCTCATACAATATATGCCATAGGAAAATGCCAGGGGCCAACCTTGGTTCGATCCGTTAGCTTTGTGGCGCTGCGCTGGCGAGTACAAATCCGAAACCGATTCAAACTACGTGAATTTGCGCGCGCTACGCTGCGGACGTTGTCCGACATCCGACGAATATATCCAACATCCGTTATCCCACCACGCTAGCATAGCAAAGCAGCAACCTTCGCTAAATCGAGCGTGCGAGGCCGTACTTACCACTTGCCACCACTCACCACACTACTATAAAGTGGGGGGTTGTGATATGATGATGGGTTTTCGCTTTGGGGTGGGATTCGTTGTCCCCTTTGAGATTTTTGCCATTCTAAGCGAAACGCACTAGAAAAACGGTCGCCGTAAGCCTCTTCTTCTTCTTCTTGTTCCTCATTCTCCATCTCTGCTTCTTCTTCCTTAGCACTTCGAGTGTTTTCGAAACGCAAAAAAAAAAAGAAACAAAAATATTTTCAACAAAAATCGGAACGCAGCACTGCCAAGTCAGTCGTCGTCGCCGTCGTTGTTGTTGTTGCCGCCATCATTTATTTTTCGTCGTTTCTTTTTTTTCCTGCTACGTACTACAAAATTAAACTCGAACGAACGAACGACGAACGTTCGCTTGGCTCCGTGCTTTTGGAACGGCAAAAGTTGCGATATTACGTCCCTCGCTATCAACAGCACAGCACAGCAAAAGCAGCAACAACAGCAGCGAACAGAGAGACAGCGATGGCAGCTCTTACCCTGTACAGTGTACATGCATATACACGAACAAACGATTTTAATACATGAAATTTTACTGTGCAGTATACACACACAGTGGTACATGCGAACGGATACATACATACACACAGCACACTGGTTCCATCATCATTATTTACCAGCATTCGCTTTGTTGTTTTACCCTCGCTCGCCTCGCTCTTTTCTCTTTGCCTGCCTGTACCGCTCGTTCCCCGACCCGTCGCAGCGGCCCACACTTTATTTTTAACTGTGCGACTGTACTTCGTGTGTCGGTCGTTCGGCTCTGCTCTCTCGCTCACACCTACATATAGACGAGCGAGCGTCTGTATGTAAGCGGTGAGTCGAGTCAGCAACATTGGATGTAGATGTGGATGTACATACGTATGTACGGGATGTGGAGTGGAGTCTTTGTTGGTTGGGGCTGTGTGTATATTTCGGTATATACATACATATATACCGACAGTTTTTTCCATGGTATTTTTCTCTTTTTTTTTTTGTAATTTTGTGTTTACCAAGCGGCTTGGTGAATGTTCGTACGTACGTACGCCTTGATAGCTGCTGTGCTGTTGTTGTTGCCCACTGTCGTACACTGCGCGACGTGCAATTTGCGCAGTGTGCTGTCGCTCCGACAATTGTTAACGGCAATTGTTGTTGCTTGGCTCGGCGGTGGCTGTAGCCCTGGTTTCGATTCGGAGCCAGCGATTAGCGCACTTGACGCAATGCCCTGGCTCAACTCAACTCTCTTTGGTCTTCGCTCTCCGCGCTCTGCTCTCGTTCTCTTGTCTTATCAGCTGGCTTTGGGTTGATAAGAGTCGCACGGCAGAAATTTAGCATGCAGATCGATGATCATCGGTTATCAGGCAGTGGGTTGTCAGTTGGGAGGCGAATATGGAACATCTATAGTTCCGGGAAACCATCTGAAGGGGTTCCCATTCAGAGCGAGGCCTTGAAGGTAATGCAGGGAGATAGTAAAAATATCTGTAGGATCGGAGATCGCAAAGCTAGAAAGACTTAAGAAAGATATGATATAATTTCTTCAAACCTAAGATATCTTTAGGAAATTAGTATATTTCAGTATGTAAGATTGTTAAAACATATTTTAAATAGATCCCCAGAATATGAATTGCAAATGAATGTTATATAAAACTTAGATACAAATCTTAAAGGTACATTTTCCATATTAAAATAGAAAAAATTGTCTATTTCTCATGTTCAAAATTGCCTATTTCTCATGTTCAAGTGAAATCTTTCAAATATTTGCCTGTACAAATAAGTTCCCACCATCCTATAAACGAGTTCTTATTAGCTGGGCTATCAATCGACCAACAGGTTGATTTCCTGGCAATTACCTTCCCATTTCGTATCCCCAGCCACTTGGCAAAGGTTCAATCACAGTCGAATTCGTCCTTAAAGTCTCGACAGTCGCAATGTCATATTGATGGATCGCTTGGAATGGTCAGGTAGTAGAAAGTGAGTGCTGTGCTGCAATCCTAGAAAAAAAATCCGAAATTGAACCCGAACCCACTGGCGTGTCTAATGCGCTGCATCCTTTTCGGGGATTACGGTCCTTCTCGACCTTAGGTAGAAATGCTCGAGCGAGCGACCCTTGGGCGGCTCACAATGGATAGAGGATGAGGATGGGATGATGATATGGGTTTTGGGATTTGTGAGGGTCTCGACTCACGTTTCACGAAATGCCGTGTTCTGCACATCGCGTAAACAGCTGAGTTCAAGGAGGAGATGTTGGGAGGTATGTGGTGTGTGGTTCATTGACCAAAAGTCACCATTCTTAACCGAGGGGGGCTTTCCCCACTTGCTCTCATGTGGGTAATGTATGCTGTATGCTGTCAGCTGTTCCCCCATTTCGCAAAAAGCACACAAAACACACACGTACGCAAAGTGGGAAGAGCGAGAGATGCCTTGCAAATTTTCAATGTCACCAATTGCGATGCCAACTTCGCTGTCGACGTCGCTGCTTATAAATCTTCGACATGAAGCGCAACAAAAAGCCGCAAAGAGCAAAAAAAAAAAAAAAAAAAGGAAAAAACCGAAACAGCAAGCGGCGCGCATTGAAAATTGCTCTAATTCGCCAAAAACAGCTGATTTGGTCGACGACGCCGCCGCCGTCGCCGTGGCTTCCTGCCTCTCTGCTGCCAATCGACGGCCCCACATCGACACGGGGACTCGGACTCGGACTCGAAACTCGGAATCGAAAACGGAATCGGGGGTTTTGTGTCTGTCAGTCGTGCGGCGAACTCCGTGGTGCGGCAACATGAAATGGCCGACGCAAAATATGCGCACATCAAAAAAGTCTGCCTCATACAAAGCAACCCACATACCATTAAACCCCACCCCAAAAAGCATACAATCCATAGCCCTAGCCAAACTTTTCTTCATAATATGGTCTTAAAAATAACTCATCCTAACTATAATTTGATTATAAATACAACACATTTTTTGAAAACTAGTACCAGTAGTCAAATATGATTCAAACTAGTCTATACCAAAACTACAATATATCATGTTTAGAAAAGATATTTAAAACAGTCCATGTTTTTTTATCAAAATTATCTATACAATTTGAAATCAACAAGGTATCATAATCCCAAAATTTAAAAGATATGTTTTTTAATAAAATCACAATATTATAGCATAGTTTTCTAAAACTCAAATATTACGAATACTAACTAGCTACAGCTCGAGTTATGGAAGTTAAACAGTAGTGGGAAAGCCGGGTTCGAAAATCTTTCCGTTCCCACATCGTCATGTGCCGCTATAAGCAAATAGCTCGCCCCGCTCTGTTATTGTTGTGGGTGTTTGCATTCAAAGTTTTCACCATGAGGGAGGGAAAAATAACTAAGCCAGCATGGGAAACTCCGAGACACAAGCCACCATATCGGCGTCATCTTGAGCTTCCCATCCAAACCAATCCACCAACTATGAAACTAAGAAACGAAACTAAGAGAGCCCGAGAAAGAAGAATGGGAGAGCGGGTGGTGCGTCTTCGTTGGTCTTCGTCTTCGTCTTCATCGTCTTCAATTCAATTCATTTTTATTATGATGAGCAGAAGACCGCTTCTTCTTCTTCAACTCCGTTGAACCCCAGCTTGCTGGTAATTTTTTTTATTATGCCTCATCGTCTTCTTCTTCTTCTTGGGGCCGCGCGCTCTTTTTTATGTTTCCAAAGTTTCTTCTTCCTCTTTGGCTCGTACACTTAAATTGCTTTGGCGGAGATCGCGGCTTAAAGCCGAGCTAAAACCCAAACCCAAGCTCGAAAACCGAAACTCGGCTTTTTTGCTTCTACTTGTTATTTTATTTTTTCTTTCTTGATGGGTCGGCTCGTTTCGCTGCTATCGCACGTTGTGCTGTGCGCCCCAGCCGAAGAATTCAAAGTGGGGCCCCCAGACCCGCTACGACCGGAGTGGATCGAGCCCGAGTCAGAGCCAGAGTTTCAGAGCCCAGAGTTATAGCCAGAGTTTCAGAGACCAGGCACTGGAGGTAGCGACAACGACAACGGCCACGGCGACCGACTTAAATGCTTGGAAACCGACTCTCGAGCGAGCACAGTGGAAGGGAATGGGGTTTTTTGGAGGAATGTATTGGGTTCGGAATTAGGGTTCCTACATAGTTAGAAATTATTATCAAGTATAAAAGTTTCTATAGGGTTAGATATTATTATCAAGTATTACAAAAATAAAGTTAGTATGGTTTTTATGTTAAAATATATGGTTTAACATTGATGAAGTATCAGCAGTAGCACCAATATCTTTCTTATATTTTAAGTTAAGGCATATTCTTTTGCATCATATTAAATTTTTGTTTCTCAAATGTTAAAAAAAAATTTTTTTTATTAAATTTTAGATTGTTTTATATCACAGCTATAAATATATTTTTGTAGAAAAGGAAATTATTAGACAATTTACAGAAACAGGGAGTTTTATGGCTGATATAATGATATTATCTATAGTCTATAGTTTTTTGTGTTACATCTAATTTTACTGTGGGCAACCAATATATAGAAACCTACTTCAGTTTGGGCCCACTGTGCCGTTGCCTTTGCCGTTGTCCCGGGCCCTGGCTCTTAGCTCTTGGCTCTGGCTTTCGGGCAAACATTTCGTTTCGAGTTGCTGTATTGCTGTTGCTGTTGCTGTTGCTGTTGCTGCTGACGATGACTGGCTCCGGCTCTCAGGTTGGGTTGGTTTCTGTTCGCTGGCTGCCTGGCTGCTTGGCTGCCTGGTTGGCTCATAACCTGAAACTTGAATATTGTGGAATTTGAAGGTAGCGACGATGTTGCTGTTGCTTTTGGTGTTGGTGTTGTTGCTGTTGTTACTGCAGCAACAGCAACAGCAGCAGCAGCAATAACAACTGCAGCGACGCTGCGTGCGAAGCTTTAGACTCGGGCCGTCAATTTGGAGCCAGTCGGAGCCGGGGACCCACGCCCCTCGCTCCGCCAATCTCCTCCTGCTTTTCAGTTTTCAGTTTTCAGTCCGCTGCCAGTGCCAGCTGAAACGAGTTGCTGGCGAAGCGTAAAATGCTGCTGCTGCTATTGCTGTTGCTGTTGTAGATGTTGCTGGTGGGTAAAAAGCAACGAACGCTTGACGGGGGACTGGCTTTTGTGTGTTGCTGCGGTGCCTGGTCGCTGTTGCCGCTTGAAACTGCCTGAGTGATGTTGGTGTGGCAATAAAAATCAACTTCCAGCAACATTGCCAGCGAACGCAGCTCGAAAATCATCATCATCATCATCATCGCTGCCAGATAGTCAGCCTGTGAGCCAGTCCCCAAGATGATGGCCAGCATTGTATAAACGCTGTTGTTGCGGCTTATAATGATGGCCAGCATTTCTCCATTCGAACGAAAATTAGCGTAGAAAGTTTTCTTTTATTTTTGTTTTTTGTTTGGCTTGATGTTGTTGATGCTCGCTGCTTTGGTTTTCCCGTTGCCAAGCTCAGCTGATGCGATTTGATTTGATTGGGTTTGGGTTTGGGTAGTAGGGGGGTGCAGAGCTTTTAGCTGATTGGGTTTTTTAGCGCAGCTTTTAAGCGCACACGGCGTATGCGCAACGAGCTTCGCTCGCATTACACATACGACCAGTTGTCAACAGAACAATGAGCAATGAGTGAGCGCCGCCGCCTCGCCTTTAAAACCAGCGATGATGATAAGAATGAGTCAGTCGCCGGAATGGGAATGGAGCAACCAATAATTCCAAGAAGAGGGAACTTCTCGCAGAGGCGAAAGACGGTTTTTCGGTTTTCCGTTTTCTGGTCCGTGTTCCCAAAAGGGCGAATCATCCGGAGTCCGGACGCCTGGGCCAGCATGTCTAGACTCCAGCCCCTATACCAAAAATAACACCGAAAATACAGCTGCAGACGCGAACGAGAACGAAACGAGGGATGAAATGCGATGATGAGACATGCGGCAGTGGCAAAGGCACAACTCGGAGGCAGACAGGCAAACAAGGGAAACGGGGCAGGGGCGGGGGCAGGGGGCAGGGGCATCCAGGGGTCGGGGGTAGAAAAATGCGAAACACATGCGACTCAGCGACGACGACCGACCTCGATGACGATAACACCCAGCACACACAGTACCACACAGCGGACTGAAAACTGAAAACGAAACGAAAACTCACCCTCGGGTTCGGGTTCTCGTATTATATTCCCCCAATGCTGAAGGCAACTGCATCAGCAGCAACATCACAGGCAACATCACTGGCAAATATGCGAGCATATGGCAACCCTTATGGATATATGGATATATATGGATATGACAAAGGCCGTTCTTCGGCCGACGTACGCACAGATGTTCAAAACTCAATGGGGAAAGTAGCTCCGGCGAAGGGCACTGAGTTTTTGGGCAGAGTGCCGTGCCGGCAATTGAAGGGTGGCAACTCTTAAAAGGGCGATGTGAGTTGGGAAAATCCCCAGCATGATTCAGCGATCGATAGATATGCTCTTAAGCCTAAGGGGTGGTGACAGTTTTTCGGGCGATGAAGCTTAATTAAGCTCCTCTTTGATCTTAATAAGAGATCTTGCATATTGTATATGACCAATTTCAGCATTTGGTGAATAAATTTGAATGAAATGTTTAAAAAAGTACTTAAGAACCAATTTAATAGGCCTTTGTTATATAATATTAGGATACAATTTTAGAGTATTTTAGAAAACTTGAATAAAAAACATTCAGATCTTTATAAATCAGTTTTTACAAAACTAATAGAAATAAATATATTACCCTGCAATGTTTTCATTGTGAATATAGCCTTCCGGGAAAATTCTTCCCTGGCATTGTTCCGTTCCAGTGTTGATCCAAAATCATGGCTGGAGCAGAACTCGAAAGACTTAAAAATAGTTTCGAAAAAGAAGAACGGAGGAAAGTCCACAGAAAATGTGGCGGAAGTTGATGGGAAAGAGCCAGCAGAGCAGCAGCAGTAGAAGAGCATTCAGAATGGGAAGACTACGACTACGGCAATCGAGGCAGCCCACACAATTCTCGGGGTCCCGCCCTCTCCTTCCGTCTCTGTGCGTTTTATTTTAAGAAGATTTCGAGCAACGTCGATGAGCAATGCCACAGCAGTCGAGAGGGGGAGGGGTTGGGGTTGCGAGTGGGTGGCTGGGAGGCGGAGGGTGGCTGACTGAGTGACGGACGGACGGACAGACAGCCTCGACTTGGCCTGCTGGCTTGACTGTTGTTGTTGTTGCCTGGCATTTTCCATTTCATTTTCATGGCTCGAGTGGGTGGAAGTGGTGGAGGGAACGAAAGAAGGGTGGGTGGTTGGTAGTGGGCGAAAAGGGGGAGTTCAAGTCCCTGCCTGACTTCCATTTTCTTGATAAGTTTTTAGCTGGCTGTGTGTCCTTTGTTGGCTCGTGCGAACCGTGAGGAAATTTATGATGCACAGAGGGAAAAACCCGAATCGAAATCAATGAATAAAGAAAATGATTTAGGAACATTGAAAGACTAATCAGGGTTGTTAGATGGTAATACTAGCTCCATCTTTTTAACTCAATAGTTATTAAACATACTTTTGATTTGAATTTTTTTCTCTCTGTATACTTGTATCCTGCTCCCTTTACAACTCCTTTGTAACTTGCTTTTCATTTTGGCGGCAAATCACTAAATGTCTTTTATTCCCCTCCTCTTGCAGGTAAATTCCGCGATGGGTCTTCAAGCAACAGCCGCCACCAAGCGGAAGCATGAGCTGACCTTCGACAGCAAGGATGCCAACACCACCTACACGGGCAACTGTGCCCCGCCCCCCGTCAAGGCCAACAAGTGGGCCATCAGCAACAACAACTACCTGGAATCGCTCGAGGAGCAGCAGCAGCAGCAGCAACAGCAGCAATCGGAGCCTGCTGTCGAGTCCAACAACAACCACATTGTGTTGGAGGCATCCATGGATGCGATGAAGCCAACGGAGCCAAGTATTAGCAATGGTCATGAAGTTACTACCGCCGTCGCCACGCTGAAGAGTCAAGCGGAGGTGCCACTGCCGCCGACGGCGAGTGCAGCGATACCGGAGGACAGTATCGCCAGGCTGGAGGTGGTCACCTCGGCCGTTCCCTGTGAGCCCTGGACAACAGCAGCGGGCAACGGGTCGTCGACTTCCTCGGCGGTCTCCGTTTCGAATGGATCCAGCGCCGAGCCCGTGGACTGCATCTCCAAGCTGCAAGCCGTGGCGGTGCCTAGTGACCCATGGGGCAGCATAGCCACCCGCTCCACGCTGGCCACCACTCTGCTCAGCGCCGACGAGCTGGACGACGATGATGATGACTTTGAGGACGACTATGAGGAGGAGGAGAGCATCATACCCACCTATTGTCCCATGCGTTTTCATCCCTTTGTGCCGCACCCCCATCCGCACCAGCTGGCACCGCATCCCCACCAGCAACAGCAGCAGCAACAGCAGCAACTCTCCCAGCAGCAACCACATCCCCAGCAGCAGCAACAACTCGCCCAGCAACAGCAGCAGCATCCGCAACAGCAGAGGAGTTATGCCCCCGGCTATGGCAGCAGACAGCCCAACTACTACTCGGAGCCATTCCCGCAGCAGAATTGCTCGCGAACCGGAGGACCGCAACACATGACGCAATCTCCGCCCACGCCGCAGCAGGCGCGCGGTTTTGCCCCACCCCAGTGGGCGACGGCGGGCGGCAGTCCGACCAATCCATCGGTGGGTGGAGCCCAGCAGTTCTACGAGGCACCAACGGAGGAGCCTATGCCCCGCCGGCGGCGCCACAGCAAACGATCCGCTGTGCGGAGAATGGCAAGTCCTATCTAGATTTGGGCTGCAGCAGCGGTGCATCCGGCAACGCTGGAGGATCGCCCATCAGTCCGCCACCCTCCTCGGCGCCCGTCGTTCCCTTCGCCGGCCTGCCCCTCCATGGCCTGCCCCTCAAGCGCTGCTGTGATGGACGCCCCGGTGGCTGGTGCAGTGCCAATAGGAGCTGCTACAAGGACACCCGGCTGAAGATACGTAATCTGTCCATGTTTAAGCTCTCCCGTTTCCGCCAGGTGTCCGAGCAGTCGCTCTACCGCTCCGTGCTCATTTGCAACACCCTGAAGCGCATCGATCGCGAGATCGAGGCGGAGGCCAAGGAATTGCACCAGGCGGCGCAGCAGCATCACCAGCAGGCGGCAGCGGCGGCGGCGGCACAAGCGGCGCAATACCACCCAGCCTACCAGCAGCAGCAACAACAACAGCAACAATCCCCGCCAGCACCACTGCATCCTCATCCCCAGCAGCAGCAGCAGATGGATTATGCACCCGTGTTGAACTGTGCCGTTTGGCCAACATGGATCACTACCAGCAATTGAGTTTCCAGCCCCAGCAGCAGCAGCAACAGCAACAACAGCCTCCCCAACCACATGGCTACCATGAGCGTCTGGAGCCCGCCTACAGGGGTGTGGCAGCGGGAGCGGGTGTGGGGGTGGGAGTGGGAGGCTTCACCACGCAGCCCAGCAACTGTGATACATCAGCGAGTGGTGCAAGTAGCAATACCAGCGGCGGCAACAGCAACAACACCTCTGCGGCAACGGCGAGCGGAAGCAGTAGTTTGCATCCCTACGATCACTATCCCTTTCGGGAGTCGCAGTCGGGTCGAGCCACGCCCTTTCCCTCCTGCCCCACACCACAGCAGCAGCGGCAGCAGTCAGCGGAGGAGCAACACCAACCCTGAGCAACAACAGCAACAGTAGCAACATCAGCAGTTCCCCCGCCACAAGCAGCAGCAGCATAAGCATTAGCAACACCAGTTCCTCAACGGCAATAAGCAGCAGTAGTGGGAATTCAGCGAACAGCAGTGTTGTCAGCAGCACGCCAGTTGCCCCTGCCGCAAGTAACAACAATTGCGATACCAGCGATTCCGGCTATGCGGACGACGACTCCACGCGTTCGATCAACTGGAGTTCGGTGCTCAGCCTGAGTTCGCAGTCGGCGCTGGATCCGCTGAACAACAACGATCTGTTTAGCATACTGCCGGCGGCGGCCACGCCCACAGCAGTGCCGGTTTCAGTGCCAGCGGCTAGCAGTTCCAGTTCATCCTCCGGTTCCACTTTGGCCTTCAGTGGCAGCTTCACCACCGTTCAGGCAAGCAGCGGGAATAGCAGCAGTTCCTGTGGCAGCAGCAGCAGCAGTTCCTCCTCTACCACAGCCACCTTTACTACCCTGTCCACCATCTCCTCGGCCACCCACTCGCTGACCTCGTCGTATGTGAGCAGCATTAGCTCGAACGTGTCGGCGGGCGCCAATACCTGGGAGTACGGATTCCTGGACATGGAGTTCGGGCTGGGCTCGGAGTTCACCGAGCTGGTGCCCAGCTGCAAGCTCAGCTCCGAGGATCTGTTCAAGAGCGGACTGGGTGGCCAGGTGGTGGCCGCCTCCCGCCTGCACGACAACGAGCTGGAGCAGCCGGCCCACATCATGGTCGGCAGTTAGTATCAGTTGTAGACGATGAAGACGACGACGGCGGATGAGCGGATGGCGGCGTGCTGGTCGCGTCGCCTGCTGGCGCCCACTAGCAATTCCAAGCAGTATTGAATCGACGAAACGAGTGAGGGGAGATCTAAAGGGGGATCTTAATTGCTAATTATGCTCAGGTTGTGAACGTGCATGAATATATATTATGAAATATATATATACCCTTACCCCACTTTGGTCCTATTTCCCCCGCTCCCTTTCTTCACACAAGCAATCGAGGACACACAAATTAATTGCAATCTATAAATGAAATTCGTAACTAAGTGAGAGATCGAAGTTAAGGCAGAACAATGATTATGACAAATGAGCAAGCAAAACTATTAGCAAATTTTTGTAAGTGTAAATATTGTTAGTCTTAAGGCAGAGCAGCGAACACCCTAGCCAAGTAAGTTTGAAACGGAAGCAAAACAAAAATTCTATATTAGCGTAACTTTAGCTTTGTTAGTTGCAATTGTTGCAGTTTTTCGATTCAACACCACATAAGAACAACAACAACAACAATAACAACGTCTTAACGAACAACAAATGGCCGTTAAACATTTTTCAAAAAATAACTCAAACCACAGATCAATTAACAAAATTTACGTTTTGGCCTAAAGACGATGTAGCATTCGGCAGCAAGACAAAATTGATGAGAAATCGAAAAACGTTTACTATATTACTAGCCATAAGTATTATTATTTATATACAAAAAACGCAGAAAACAGCAAAACAAACAAAAGAACTACTTAAAACAAAGTTTTATAAAAGAAAAAACAAAGAAAAAACACAAAAAGAACAAAAAAAATTAAAAATGCAAGCAAATATAAAGAATTTGTTATAAAAATTACACCATCTTTTAAATATTTTGGGATGCGTGGGCAAGTTATTTTTCAGCTGGGTACATACCGATCGGCAACGAAGAAAGGAAAAATTTTTACGTAAAACATGTGACTATTGAATTTGGAAAACATTAATGTAAGGATTAGGAAAACAAGAGAAGTTCTCTTCTTTTCCTTCTCCTAATTGTTATACTATCCATTCTCGTTCTTCTATTTTCCTACACTTTTATAAAGCTAAACAAGATCACAAATTTTGAATCACGGCGCCATGTTTCTTCCTCTTCCATGAACACGAGTCATATTTTTCCTGATCTGGTAACACTAACCTCTTCTTTTCCTTTGCTAGTGGCAACGCTGGAAATTTAAAAAATGGTTTGGGTCCAGACTAAGTTTAGATAAAGGCGCCATTTATTCCAATTTGAACCAGACGAAGAGAAAAAATCGTGGTGAATATAAAAATGATTTTAATATGTAGCGCCACATGCGTGTAAAATAGAAAACAGCACGGTTCGCGCCTCCGCTTAAACTAGTTCCGATTTCGTCCGTCTGGCATAAATTCGCCCAGCCACATTGAATTCGCTTCTTCTACATGACATATTCGCTGTCTACATAGCGAAGTCACTGCCTACATGGCGAAGTCAAGGCAACAACCAACATCCAACATGGCAAAGTCAGGGCAAAAACCAACATCCAATATGGCGAAGTCAAGGCAACAACCGACAGCCAACATGGCGAAGTCAAGGCAACAACCGAAATCCAAAATGGCGCGCAGAGATAAGACCATAACCGGAAGTCACCTATACTTAGCCGGTTCAGCAACCATTTTTTAAGGATATTGTATTTTAAATGACCACCGCAGCTTAAACAAACTTTCATTCTTCAACTTTCTCCAGCTCTCTTGGCGGAAATGTCAAAGTGACATGACAACGGAAAAGCTGTGTGTACGAGGAGAGCGAAAAACAAACAGATAAAGATAAAGCCACCCCCAAAAAGCCGCCCTTTCCGTATCACACGGACCTCCAAACACACATGATAGCCAAACAACCCCCGAAAATGTATGGAAAAAATGTAGGAAAAATACCTGAATGAGATTATGATGGGCCTTGAAGGAAATGCAAGTGCCGAAGAAAATTGGGTGTTACTTGTAAGGAAGGCGGGGGGCTTGCTCTAAGGATATGCACCACCCACAATCAGCCCTTAACAACAAATGTGTGTGGGCGCTCTCTCAAGATATCCTTTGATACTCTCTCGCCTTCGCTCTCTTGGATGCTTTTTGGCTCTGCGCAGCAATCTCGACGAGATGGGGCGAAAATCTCTAATAAGGATGCCCGATGATGAAAAATTCATGGCCTGGCATCGCACGCATCCTGCGCTGGCTCCTGAGTAAACGAAAACACTCCGACTCAGCCACACGCAGCGAACACAGGCCAGAGATATAATATATATATATAGTGAAAGACCCCTCAGAAAGGACATATCCGAATTGTGCAATTAAAAAACCGCTGCATTCCGCAGGGCGAAGCCAGATAGTTCCGATAGGCCAAATCGGGAAATACCTCGAACGCGAGTGCCACAAAATATTCATTGTTTCGAAAAGCCAGCAAGTGATTGTATAATTTCCATTGCTTTGCTATTTTTACGGGTGTGGGCGCCCAACGGCAGCGGCCAAGGAGATATATGTACATATCTTCCAGGATATACGGATTAACCAATCTCCGCCAGAGATAATCAGCAAAAATTCCCCAAATTCCACGACATGAAAACTTAATTGACTTAAATAAATAATTACGAGTTCGATTTGTTGTTGTTTGTGCGCCTACGGTTTTTTTCTCGGTGAAAGCGAATGCGGGCCCAAAGAGGAATCGGAAAAAGTTACTAAAATACAACAGCCAGCAGAAAAAAAAGGAATACATAGAGAACTTGCCGCTGCCGTTGCCGCCTGTAAAAGCAAAGAGAAAAGTGGGTGGAGAAGGAGCGTGGTGGAGGAGAACGAGGGGAAGAAAGCGAGGAGAAGGTCGCGGAGTTGGAGAAAGGGGGCTCAAGGAGTAAGAGAAAGCAGCCATTACTGCGAAAGAGCGCAACCCTAAGAAGAGAGCCAGAGAGAAAGTCAAAGAGACACCTACGCTGTTTTGTAGCCACTGTGGACGGAAAACTTATAAACAAAACTTAGGTTCCACAAAGAAATCTGAAAAACAAAAAATGCTATGCTTTATATATATATAAGAAATGTAATTTAAATAAAAAGAAAGACTCAAATCAACACATATCATAAATTAAGTCTTTCGAGAAAAATTCCAAATAAATAAATATAAGCTGAGAAAAACAGCCAATTAATTCCAGTAATTACCAAAAATAAGATATTATATTAACAAAATAGGGCCGTACATATCATGTAAAAGCGCTTTAAAGGCATCACAAATATATCTGCAAATAAAATAAGAAAAAGATTGGAAAGAAATGTAAATCTTAAGGAATTTTACCAAAGAAAACGTAAACATATCATGTAATACGCCTAAAAGCTTGCTGACATCTTAATCAAGCTATTTTATCTAACCAAAATATAAAACAAAACCAAATGAACTAGTCTAAAGAAAATTGTGCAAATTATCGCATACATATCAAAGCTCTTGCAAAGAGTAAATGCGTAGAATAAATCTAATGTATTAAATTTACAAAAATATATGCTATCGAAAAAAGCAATTTTTGTTAGAAATTTTACATTAGTTGTCAACTAATACTAAGAAAAGGATATATACACAAATATCGCCACATATCTTTGAGGAAGCCTCACCAAATTAAATAGCAAAAGTGAAAAATCATCACGACTAGAAAACTTATCAATAATTAGACTGCGTGTTTGAGACAGCTACGAAAAAAAGTTACTTACTTTATCAAGCGGACCAATTTCATATGACGAGAAGACTTATTTAATTCCAGAAAAAGCAGCAGAAAATATAACACTAATAGGTAAGTTTTAATAAAAATTAATTGTTGAAGGAAAATGATATTTTATAAAGGGGTCACCAAAAAAATTTTGGTACTCATAATTTCATTATTTGGTGCTTGTTCTTCTTCTTCTGTTTGCTATAGTTTTTATCATATTAGATGGTAAGTTTTCTAAATAGTAGATATTCTAAAAATGGTTAAATTCTTCTATAACATTTGTCTAAGACATTACATTTTTAACCAGAATGGGCTTTTAATTGCAAGTTCCATTCCAAGATAAAGTTTTGGAGTACTCCAGATGGATTCCTATTTACCCACCCCGTATCCTAAAAGAATCATAAACTTTTTGGTTAAAGCCTGTGGGCGCGCGCATAGGTAATCCATAAAACAGCCTAAAATAAAACCGATGAGGCCCCAACATTTTATGCTCCAATGGCTCTGGAGGGGATTCGCACTCAGCCCGACTCCGGAATGGCGCTAAACCGTAATGAGCCTGTCGAAGTGAAATTTGTTGCTGCAGCCCCTAAGAGCATGCCACAAACATACGCAAACACACACCCAAACAACAAAATCAATAGGCGGCCATGTGTGCGTGTGTGCGGGTGAACAGCTAGAAAAATCAACCAACACTCACGCAAGATTCAGGGGAAAGCCAGGGGGGAATTCGTCGACGTCGCCACGCGCGCTATTAAAATTTTCATTTTTATGATTATCGCTTGCGAAAATCCGCAACAATTGTGCCGGTTCACACGGTGCAAAAGGGACGAAGGACTAAGGATACACAGGCCAGGACACCTACGATGACGAGGCCAGAAAGGAGTGCGTATGCGTGTTTGCGCGACTGAGCAAATGTTTAACTTTGGCCATAAAATTAAATTTAATTTTCAATTACCGCGGCTGGCAATCGTTTGTTTTTGGCCTTGCAAGAATTGCACCCCACGGCGGTATAACGAAGCGATTAAAAAATTCTCCAGCTGCCGGAGTTGGCTCACCTTTTGGCCATTAGAGCGGTGGCCACTTTAAGGCCGCTCTCGCTGCAGCTGCCTCACTTTGGGGCATCAAAAATTCATCTCCAGCATCCAGAGTTCTCTCTCCATCAGCCAGCGGCCAGCAGCATCTGCTGGCTTTTCGCCTTTTCCCGCGCCATTTTCCCCGCACTTTCGGTCTTGGCCATTTCTGCTGGCCAGTTCCTGGTGCTGCCATCCCCTAATGAGTGCAAAAATGAGCTTCGGGAAATGCTGGACGGCAGCGGCAACAAAGTAGTGCTAGGAAAATGAAAGGAAACTCTCCAAGCAGCCTTGGATATCATAATTACACTAAGCTACTCCTCAGTCAACTATGTAATAAATAGGTTCCTTAAAGTTGCCTTTTACGAAAGGAGGTGTAAATTAAAAGAGTAAGCCGTTGACGTCATAGTATGAAGGTCTTAAAGATCAAAGACAACACAAAAAGTCACAAGGGGGTTTGAAGTCTTTTCAAAAGACTTAAAAAAGTATGCAACAATATATTTCGACTCAGAAAATCTAAAATAATTGCATACTTCTTGACACCTTTAAAATTGTTTTATATGTTTAATTAAATACAATACATCTTTAAGACATCTGGGTACACTTAATCTAAACAACTTTATAATGTATTGTTTATACATTTATAACTTATTTTCTTAAATCCGGGTCCTAAGATTTTTCCGTAAAAGTTTTATA